TCACCCTCTCTTTTCATTTAAAGCTGCACATCTCCATCTCCATTCCTTCAATGGTGGCTTGTTTGACTGAATCAGTATATCAATATCAAGTCATAATCACTTACCTTGAGTGATCTGCATACCCCAGAATGTAACTCCCAAAGTTTTACAGGTAGGCCTACTCACTGTCCTGGGCATAGCAGCAAATGTAGCTACTATTCCTTTTAGTCTTCAGTTGGTACACAAACAGTCTCAATCTAAATGAATGCATTTCAAAACCCCAAACTTAAAAACAAAATATTCAGTCCTTAAGAATCACTACTGCATGATGTCCTTACTCCCCACATTTGTATTCATCATTTCAAAGCAACTTATTAATAACATCACATCTGTACTCAATAGCCAATCTGACAGATATACTCTCAAATTCATTATATGAGGGGGAGGGGGAGAACAAATGACACATACCCTTTTATAATTTATTATTCACTTAAGTGAGATGAGAATAAGACATAGTCTAGAAAATTTCACTTACTAATATATATGTGTATCAGGGGACCATATCAGGGTTCAGTGAGGACTAGTAGCTAGGGTACTCGTAATATCTGTGCTCGGCTTAATTAGAAAAAAGAGAAAACTACATTTGAGGTTTAGTATCAGTCTCCATAAGGATTCAAGTTTTGCTTTCTTGCAGTTCTCATAAAACTGTTACTCACTACATAGGAATGCTAAGAAAAAAGAAGAGGAACCTTTTTTCTTCTTTTTCTTTTTTTCCGTAGAAAGTTTAACTCTCAAATTATCTTGAATAAGAAAAAGGTACCTCTTGGGTAGGACCATGGAAAAACTTGCATTGCTCATCATTCTAACTTGGCAATTATCCCCTGTGGATAGAAAAAAACTTATCTACAAACTCACTGTACCCTATACAGTGGCAATGTGGAAATGGAGACCAAAGCAGACCTTTGGTATCTCTGACAAGTCAAATTTACTCTTGTAGGGGTTGATATGGAAAGAAAACAAGCCATTGAGAGCTTGCCAAAAAAAACAACTCTAAGTTGGGGGCCATCAACTGTCCTTAACAAATTTTGGGGACTTGCATTAAACAAAAAATAGCCCCTCTCCCTGACAAAAGAACCTTCCTATATCACATACTTATTCAAAGCATAGGTAACCATGTCAAAATTTATTCTGGTCCCAACTGAGGTTCAGTAGTAATGGCTTTGGGCAAAGTTATTGAATGAGTATGCTGTTTTAAACCCTTTTACTTTCCTTCCTTTATTTCCCTCTACAACTTGTGGCTCCCAGGAAATTCCTCTCCTGCTACTGAAAGTTATGAATGTGCTCTGACTATACACTTTATGAAGGCAAAGTAAATAATACTAGGAAACCTATTAATAACTAATCCAAGAAAGTAGTTAAAGAAAAGCTAAATACTTGTTACAAATAATGAAAAGACATTTGGTGAATTTCGATTTTCTCTTCCAATTTGAAGAAAAAAGCTCACTAATTAAGAAATAACAAGGTATTTACATATTTTGACTAAAAATACTTATCTCAAATAAATGGTCAAAATCATACTTAAGAGTGTATAGAACACTTCAGATATCACTGTAAAAGTAAAGAATGAGACAAGGAAGCCTGCTGGTATCACTTACTGATACTGTTAATTATAGCCTAGAATTTTCTAACAGGGAAAGGTAGTAGTAGAAAATCCAATACAACAAAACGGAAAAGACAAAAAGAAATCTTTCCTAAGAGAAACAAAAGACTTAAATAGAGAGGTATATCATGCTAATAGTAGAGAGGACTCAATGTCATATTGTAGAACATAAATTCTTTCAAAACTGATTTATAAATTCAAGTATCTTCATATACAAATAGATTGAAAACCTAATTGCAGAAAGTTATATCTATTTACTGCTGCTAAAACACTTAACTACACGAATGAAACATGGCAATCAAATATGAATTCACAATGCATTATAAAGTTCACTCTATTATCAAATATAAATTAAAACAAGACAGCTTTCTTATCAAATTGGCAAATGTGCAGGAAAAAATACTCAATTCAAGCAAATAGGTACTCATAATCCCTGACTCAGCAGTTCTAAGAACATCACAGCTATAACCAAAATGTTTATAAGAAAACAACCACAGTATTAAAAATAATAGTACCAAAATGAAAATAACACAGCAGCAGCAGGTTTGCTTTAATAAATTTGAAATTCTCATATAAATTGGAATACTATGTAACCATAAAAAATTTATGTTTTCATGACATGGAAAAATATTCATAATAATGAATGTTTTAAAATGTAACAAGCCAGTGTATTTATACATTCAAAGGATTTTGTAAAGGGCTTTTCCTAAAAGGCTACAAGGAAATAATTAACACACTGCAAGGAAAATACATAAAATCATTTTCAATGAAAACATCTAAGGACTAAGAACACATACAATATTTACTAGCTTCTATATGCTTTCATATGTTTTTCAAATTTCCTTCAATAGAAACATACTGCTTTTATATTCAGGAAATAACAAATGTTACCTAAAAGAGACAATCGAAATTTTAAATTTCTGCCTTTAATTTTCTAGGACTATAAACCCAGAATATGATTTTAATTAGAATGATAACATTTTTAATGAGAACAATGATGTGTATAAATGTTAAAAGCATCTCAAATAAATTTTTACTACAATGATCCCACTCTTACACGAAGCACTACAAAGTTCACAACCAATGAAGTAAGTAAAAGCATACAGTTCACAGTAAAACAAACACACGGGGGCAGAAAAGGATAGGGACAAAAAAATTAATGGAAAGGGTCCAAGCTTATCAACCCAAAAAGATTTCTTTTGGATTTAGTTTTTATTCTTTGCTTTTATATAAACAAATTTCACATAAATTACTTGTAATGTTATGTTTCACTCTGTGGCCTCTTTTACATATATTTATATACAAATATACATATAGGTATATGTGTGTATGTATAAATAAGTATTTAAATTTGAATAGTCTTTTAAATAATCTTTACAGTCAAAGAGAAAAAACAAGGACTTCAGAATCTAAATACAAGAATATGTTTTTAAGAAACTGACTCTGACAACAATCCATGTAGTTATCAGCTATATTTGAAAAATGATCTTTACATTAGTGTAAAACAGAAACTGAACTATGACACTCATTTAAAACATCAGTTAAACAAATTTCTTCAGAATAAGTATTTCAAAAATTCAGTGTATCTAAATTAATTGTTGCTATTTACTTTAAATGAATTCATTTCGTGAAAGTTAAACTTACCAGATTTTTAAAAAGATGAACAAGACCCTAATATATCAAACTTCAGGAACTCTCAGGGTAGAGCACAACCCCGGAATTATTGGTTTTATTAATCATACCATTTTCTGAAATGGCCATAACCAAATACAATCCAAGATGTAAACATCACTGTATCACACAGTACTTAAGACTATTAAATTTCTTTAAACATTGACAAAATATAGGTGTACCCAAAACAAGTTGTCTCCTAAAATGAGTAAGATTCTGATATGCAAAAACCCTTTCACGCAAAGGATACAAAATGTTAGTGATTCCTGAGATTAGATGACTATGACTATCTGTGCCCCCAACACACAAATGCTTCAAATAACCCCCAGTCTCCCATTTACAGTATTTTTTCCTCTCTTCATATCATGGGGGAAAACCTCTATTAGATGACAAATCCTTTTAATAATAAACATTCCTTAATTTTCTTTTTATCAAGGAGGGTGTTCTCAGGGCTCAGGGCAGTCTGCAAATCAATGCAAAAGGACAGCCATCAAGAGGCTGATTGGAAGTATTACCAGAAAGCAGGCAGGCAGCAAATATTCAAACCCAGAAATAGTGATGTAACCGTTCCTATGTAGCACAACAACTGTGCAAAAATGACAGACATTGTTAAGAAAGATTCTGCCTGAAAAACGTAGAATGAAGAGAGGATTGACAGACATGAAGGTAAAGTGCATGATTATACTAATACAGGTACTTACGTATCATACCTCTGCAGTGGTGTCACTTTGTTCTTATTCCTATCAACTGAACCCGCAGAGAGTTGAAGAAAATTGGGGTTTAATTTATATAATTCTTGAAGTAACTTCTGTTCATATTCTTGGTGTTTACCCGCCTAACAGAAGAAGAAATTAAAACTGCAGTGGGCTTCACAAAATAGCCAATATAAAATACTGACTGACATCAGAATTATTAAAGATATATCCTAAATAAAACATGTAAAGGTTTTGTGTGGTGTCAGAGAAACCTGTAAGGATGACCATCACAGAACTTTTAGACCAATGAATGTTCTTCCAACAAAACTACATGATACGTACTCCATTAATTAAGGCATTTCATCAACCACTTTGCTGTGCAGAAAGAAAAGCCTATTAACAGACGTTTTTGGCAGCTCAGAGAACTAGAAGGTCCCTTTTTAAACCTATTTCTCCACCTTTCAAATAAGAATTAAGTCTTCTTTCAGGCCACTAGAGAATTTTCTGAAGATCACCAAAAATTAACCCTTTTTTTTTTTTTGGAGATTAAGATTGCAATACACAGATGAAGAGTTTTACTGTATTTTTCATTATCTTGACACTAAGGGAAAATTCCACTAATTTGTTTTTATGTAAAAATTAATGCAGTTTAAACTCTAGTCCTGGGACTGGCAATTTACAGCCGGCTGCTTTGTTTTTATAAGTAAAGTTTTACTGGAGCAGTCACGTTCATTCATTCAGCTATGGCTGCTTTTGCGCTACAACAGCAGAGTTGAACAGTTGCTACAGAGACAATGTGACCCAGAATCCAGAAAGCAGGCAGGCAGCAAATATTCAAACCCAGAAATAGTGATGTAACCGTTCCTATGTAGCACAACAACTGTGCAAAAATGACAGACATTGTTAAGAAAGATTCTGCCTGAAAAACGTAGAATGAAGAGAGGATTGACAGACATGAAGGTAAAGTGCATGATTATACTAATACAGGTACTTACGTATCATACCTCTGCAGTGGTGTCACTTTGTTCTTATTCCTATCAACTGAACCCGCAGAGAGTTGAAGAAAATTGGGGTTTAATTTATATAATTCTTGAAGTAACTTCTGTTCATATTCTTGGTGTTTACCCGCCTAACAGAAGAAGAAATTAAAACTGCAGTGGGCTTCACAAAATAGCCAATATAAAATACTGACTGACATCAGAATTATTAAAGATATATCCTAAATAAAACATGTAAAGGTTTTGTGTGGTGTCAGAGAAACCTGTAAGGATGACCATCACAGAACTTTTAGACCAATGAATGTTCTTCCAACAAAACTACATGATACGTACTCCATTAATTAAGGCATTTCATCAACCACTTTGCTGTGCAGAAAGAAAAGCCTATTAACAGACGTTTTTGGCAGCTCAGAGAACTAGAAGGTCCCTTTTTAAACCTATTTCTCCACCTTTCAAATAAGAATTAAGTCTTCTTTCAGGCCACTAGAGAATTTTCTGAAGATCACCAAAAATTAACCCTTTTTTTTTTTTTGGAGATTAAGATTGCAATACACAGATGAAGAGTTTTACTGTATTTTTCATTATCTTGACACTAAGGGAAAATTCCACTAATTTGTTTTTATGTAAAAATTAATGCAGTTTAAACTCTAGTCCTGGGACTGGCAATTTACAGCCGGCTGCTTTGTTTTTATAAGTAAAGTTTTACTGGAGCAGTCACGTTCATTCATTCAGCTATGGCTGCTTTTGCGCTACAACAGCAGAGTTGAACAGTTGCTACAGAGACAATGTGACCCAGAAAGCCCAAAATATTTACTAACTGGCCCTTTACAGAAAAAGTTTGCCAAACCCTACTACTCTACATGCAACAAAAAGAAGTCCGTATTTACTGTCACTGGTAGCTGTTTATCAGAAAGCAATGGTTATGGGAGAAATTAGGCATAGACTGACTCTGGAAACTAATCATGTTTCCATGAATTTACAATGAATTCAGTTTGAATAACATTTTATTATCTGCATGTATATCATGACTGGAATGACATTTTTACTTACCTTCTGGGTGTTAATTGTTTTAAAAGTATGGCCTAAATAGATGTTAAGGGAAAAACCAAAACCAGAACAAGAGAGATCAAAACAAAAACAAAATTAAAAAAAAACAAGCAAGGGCAAGATCTCCTAACTGCACACAACTGTATCCTATATACTGCACAATGCATGTTCCCTGTTCTGAGAGGGCTTTTGCCTGTTTCAACTGGATCTCTAAATATTTCACACAGTACTAAATTTTGAGTTATGCAGTAACAAAGAAAGATTTTTGCCATGATATAATTTGTTCAAATTTCCTTTCCACACTGAGAGGGTGTTTTAACAAAGAAACTTCTTTTCAAAGTAATTTTAAACTCAGATAAAGAAAAGCAAGAGGAATTCAGGACAATAAGATGAAATGAGTTTTGAATTACTAAGAAAAAATAAAGTTAGATGTGGATTTTATATCTTTAAAACATGAAAAGCCTTGAAAAATTCTTTTTTGCAATCAATACTTCAGAAGATATTACAGCTTTCATTAGACACAAAGAACTCAAACTCATGTTCAAATGATTCTACAGGGGCAGTTGATAGAGACAGGTTAGATACCATTACAAATAAGTTCCAAGGGACATCCATTTTCCTTTACTGTTCAATAATACTTTAAAACGGGGTCAACTGGAGCTTAGAAATTCTTGGAAAGAGATTTTCACTGACAAGCTCTACTTGTCAAAATTCAGTTTGAATTATTCAGTCTTAGGTTTTTGACCAAGAAAGTTTCATCCAAAAAGCAAAACAAAAACAAGAAGCACAGTAACTTGTTTAAATAAGAAATAAGTTAAATCATTTGTCCCCATTAAATACCACAGAGGCCTTATTTTAACACTGTTTTTGGATCATAACGACAATACTGTCAAGAAATTCCAATGTATTTATCATAATGGTATTTAATCTGTACTAACTCCAAGTCAAAAAAGGTAATATTTGATTTTATTTAAAAATCTGATCTTCAAGGATCCCCTACTAGACTTTCTCTAGTTTGACCTGGAGAATAAAAGGTAGCAATCAATGCCCCCCACCTTCTAAGTGAGAAGTATTCCTGCCAAAGTCCACAGCAACAATCTGAAGTCCTCATCTATAATAGGGAAGTGCAGCATTGTGCTCTGGTATAATCCTCATTTAATATGCTGTATGGTCAACATTTTTACTTGTAAAGGCATGTTTATACTACAAATTGAAAGGAGACAGGAGAACAGGAAATGTAAAAAAGAACATAGGATAATAAGCCTTCAATTCACCCTTACAGGACACTGACTCAAGGGACACCTTCATGGGGAGAGTCATTTTATAAAAATGTTAACTTATCAGCAACATTTGATAGAGTACTTTTTTCTAGCATGCTCTGTAAAGAGTAGCAATTAGCAGGAGAAAAAACTCAGTTACAGTATGCTGCTTAGCTTTCATTTTGCTAGTATTCAACCTAGAGTAGCATTTACCAAAATGCTTTTCTTGGTCAATTAAGTTCTGGTTGTACACTCCCTTCTTGGACAGGTACTGGCATATTAAAAACGCTAAGAAGTCCTGCAGGAAAGAAACCTATTTATCTTCATTAATCTGGTATTTTCAAACTGCATGGACCTATTTTTATTATGACAATATCCTATAAAAACTGATATTCCATGGAACACTATTTGAGAAAATGCTATTTTAATACCAGCTTTAAAAAAAATCCCTAGTTTCTGCTTTTGCAGTTTTAACTTAAAAAGACAAATACTTCCTCTTTTGGAAAGTTGATAATTCACATTACTACCTGCATTTCCTCTTTTGTGAAGCTGGCAGCCTCGTCCCCCAGTTCATGTAGATACATGCAGTCAGGCTTTGGACACTGCATATTCTTCAGGAAGTAACTGCAGTATTTTGTTGTACCTAGAGATGCCTGCAGGAAAAGGAAGGGGGAAAAGGGACCCAAAATGTGAACTGACACCACTTGAGAATTTCCGTTTTTAGTGTTTTCATTTCACCTAAAATGAGGCACAGACACAGCAAAACAAGCTGTATGGCTGTGAATACTAGAGAATTAAACTATTACTAACTAGCAGGATTAATTAAAGATGATGCTCATTTCGAAGAACTAAAGAAAACATCTCAGTCTATGGTTTCAAAACTTGAGCATTCAAATCTTCTTCCCTAGTGATCAGAAGAGAAGATAGACAAAATCCATTCCATGATATTAAGGGGTCAGCATCTAAGAAGGCAAATTCTTTTTTCTAATTATGCCAACCTTCTTCCATTTATATAAAGCGTTGCTTGGTGGGACCCTTCCCTCAAACCTTGAATGGAGCAATGTCCAAATATTTAAGGACAACAAATCAGAACCATTATCTATTTCTAATAAGCAGACTAATGGATCCATTTTCACAAAATAAGGTATGTGTAAATAGAGGAGATTTTTAAAGATTATCCCCTAATAATGAATGTATTTATTCCTACCTGGTAAAACAGGACCCTACATTAGGTCAGCAATAAACAAATTAGCTGTCAGAGGTTGGTACGGATGCCTAAGGCTCTCTTCTACTTCCTATATTTTATTCCTTCCCTGTTAAAAAAAAAAAAGCAAAATAAAAAGGACCATCTTACCTTAAGCGTTCTGCCATCTACTACCACATTGTTGACACACTGTATAGCTCTGAGAGCATCTTCTGACCGGATGTAGGTTACATAAGCACTGGCACTTGGACCCTAAAGTGAAAACCCACTGTCATTCGTTTAAAATTCAACAATAACTTTTAAAAATATTATTTTACCATCTGCCTTGGTAATTGTAAAGGCCTTTACTACTACTAACATTTAATAATAACCATAATTAGAAGTAGTAGTAGTTTTGGTAAAATCATATATTAGCTCATTTTTAAATAATCATACTTAATTTTACCTGATTTTAAGTAAACTAAACCATATATGAATAAGATATTCTTTAGCTTGACATTTGATAAGCTCATCAAGGTTACAAAAAACAAACTTTGGTTAGATTAAAAAAAAAAGAAAATTTGGGTGCATTGTGTCAAATTATGTTCTTCCCACAATAAATACAATCTGCAAGAGTAGTCTATCTGCTAATACCACCATAGCAAATATGCTCTATTAAGTTTTCAATATCTGAAAATTAGTTAAAAATCATTTATCTAATTATTAGAGTGCCTAATAATAGTCTCAACTCCCCCTTCCCTTCAAAGCATCACTAAATTTTTGTTTTACTATCTCCCTCTTATTACTATCAATTCACTATTATGTCCTGGGTCAAATGAGCACCAAAAATTCTGCCACCCCACCAAAAGAGATTACTAAACTGCTTAAATTCCTGATTACCAAGCTTTCTGAACACAAAGTAAATTTTCCTTCTAAACAGCCGAGGTAAAGTCCAAGCCAAAGGGAGGAAAGGCAAAAACCCCTATAATTAGTTACCTGTGAGCCTGCATATGATGTACTATTATTGATGACAACTTTATGTATTTTACCGAACTTCCCAAAATATTCTGGTCGTTTTAACACCTAAAAAAGAAGAAGAAATAAGGTATAAACTGCCCCCATTTTCATCAACTTTATCCTCCTAATGGGGACATACACTCTCCCTCTTCAGTGAAAGGAAAATAATTTGCAAGCTTTCTGATAAACATTACTACTTCTGAATTTTAATTTGTGTGGTTAACTTACAAGAAATCATCAACAGCGTCTAAAAGCTATTCTTTACTAACTAGTAACTGAGATCCACCAAGGTTGGTATTATCTATCTTGTCTAATACCTGCACCCATAATCTATGGGATATTACCTTCACAATATTCTTAAACACAAAACACATCAAACATCTTAACCACATTTTCATTAACAGATGGTCCTTATAGGAAATTAATTCTCAAAACAATGACTAAAATTAGGTATTAAACAGATATAGAAACTCAAGAACGGACATAAGTAGAGACAACCTTTACTTGTAAATCTATTGTATACTGTATTTGACTTATCATATTAAAGCTTTGTTTATAAGCTACAAATTTCAACTATGATAACAATGTTCTTCAACCTTCTATGTTTTGTGATTTATCACCCTATGTGTACCTAATTACACTGATATGTCACACTGCAGCCAAGTCACTCTGTTCTTAAAAACACTGAATAGCTTTCCACTACCTTTAGGAACAAGTGCAAACTCCTCACCATGGTAAGCCCTTCATAACCCAGTACCACTTACCTCACTAGCCTCATCTCTCACCAATGCACTCTAGTCTTCACGCCAAACAAATCACTTGCAGACTGAGCTCTTTCTCACCCAGAAGCATTTGTATAATTCCTGTGCCAGAAGTACTTTACCCCAAAGATAGCAGAGGAATATATGTCTCTCAGACAAGGTCAGGAACTCTCTCTTGTGCCTCCACAGCACATAGCACTTTTCATAGTGCACTGCTACTTTTGTAAATAAGCAGAGACTCCTTTGCTATTGGTATATGCTCAGTATCTTACACAGGGCCTGGCACATGGCAGGTGTTCAATCAATGTGTATTAAAAAATGGAACTGTCTTAGTTCCACTGGGCCTGGAACTGACAGGCCTCCATGTATTAGCAAATGCCCTATGGCTGATAAGAAATGGTCTGCCCCAGCAAGGGAAACTCAATTTAAACTTTCTATATCAAGTTGAACATCGCAAATACTACTTAAACGTAACAGCCAACTAGCAAAGTATTATTCTAATAAATAAAAAAAGTAAAGAGCATGAGGAATAGGCAAAGTAGCCTGCACACATTACCCACATAGTCAGTGTCATCTATTTACTTGACAGTGGGCCATCTTTTTTATTAACATAGAATATTAAAGGCCATGTGACAGAATTATAAATGCCCAGTAGCATGCCTAATGTGTAAAATGTCTTCCTATATATTCTTTAGGAACAGTTAAATGCTCATGGACACTAGAGAGAAAATAAAAACTTGATAAGCTAATGAAAGGATGAATGGATAAATGGATGGGTGGATGAATGACAGACCGAACATCAGTGTTCCAATATATTGAAATAGTAAGACTGGAAGGGTTTTCTAGTCCTGGCTCTGCTATGAAATAGCTGTGTGATCCCAGGCAAGTTGCTCAGGTTCCCTGTGCCTGACTTTCTCATTTGCAAAATGAAAGGGTCGTGTCTTTACCTCATCTGTAAAAAGGTTGTGTCTTTAAAGTCTTTTAGTTCCTCAAATAAGCTGCTTTCTCAGATCACCATACACCTGGGACACTTTTATCTGTATTTGTTGCCTAGTTAATACCTCATAATTCTTAGTTATTCTCTCCTTAGGGAGGCTTTTCACAGATGTCTATACTAGCTAAGCTCCCCACTGTTTTATGTTCCCAAAGAGCCCTGTACTTCCCTGTTTATAAATGCTTAGCACACTTACAAGTACTTAAATTCTGTCTTCTCTACTAGTCTGTAAACTTATTAAGGGTAGTGACTGTGCCTGGCTTGCTAAACTATTTTATCTCCAACATCAAAGTGCCTAACACATGGTAAGTATTCAAGAATTAACCATAGAATGAATGAATGGGTTTCCAACAAATCTAAAATTTAAGGGATTTAGAAGACTGGATGACTTCCAGTCATAACCTCTACCTACCGTATCTTCTACTGATCAACAATGAATACATCTGACATTCTTGGTATGAAGTTTTCTGATACACAAAAATTATTTTCAAAATAAGCTTGAAATTTTCCTAAGTGCTCCTGTTTCATTAATCAAAATTAAGTAATAACAAACTGTTCATCATCCGAAGTTAAGTAAATAATAATGAGTTTCTTTGACTTTAAAGGTACACTAACAGTTTGAAACTTCCAGTTTTCTAATGAAGCTGACTTTGTTTTCTAAACTAGTAAGGTTATATAGATAAATTAAGAGAATTTTTAAAGATATTATTATTTAGAAGTAGGATTTAATAAATAAAATACTGGTCTCTGGTCTTCCTGGCCTTTCAAGAGCAATAAATGAGAGAAAACACTGTTGAAGAAAATTCACTGACCTCTCACCAAGTAACAATGATTTCAAAAGTATAAAACCAGTAGAGTAATTTTTAGTTACATGTAGACTCATGATTAAGTCACTGGAATCATGTTACTTGAAGTGGAAGTAAGAAATCTCTATAAGTAAAATAAAACAAATCAAATTCTAAAGAAAAGGCAAGAAACTTATTAATCCAGACATTAGATTGAGACTATGAATTAATTTTATCCAGCCTTCAGGGGCTGCTCTGTACGTCTCAGCTGACCAGATTCAGCGTGTATTAACAAAATCCAGTACATTCACATCCAAAATAAAATAAAAGTCAAAATAAAAGTTCCATTAAGGAGTAGAAGTTTCAGAAATACAAAAGCATATTCTAATCAATAAGATTAGTAGAAGTAAACAAAGGCTGGTAAATAAGTAAAAGACAAAATTTGCAGAGGTTGGTTAGAAAAAGGCAGAGTTGAAAAAGGTAGACACAGAAGGGTTGATGCAAAACTGTAGGGGTGTTCATTGTCAAGGGTGAAGTGGAATTCTGCCTGCCTGGGAAGTTAAGTACTAACTTATAAAAAGGGAGAACTGCCTGCTGAGGTTGAGTCATAGGCCTATAATGAGCTCTCTCCTTAACATCTCTTATTGAAGAAATCTTTTCCCGTATAAACAAACTCTAGACCCATCCCTTTGTCTTTGGAAAGAATCTAGTTTCCTAAAGATCATATAGCAACATTAATGCCAGCATCCCTGGACCTAGGTCCAAGTAATTCTTGAGCTGCCTCCATGTTTACTGATAATGATGGTGCCTTCTTAGTAAGATCTCCCTGACTTTCTCCTCTGCTGATCCTGAAGCCCACCACAGCCTCAATGAATAATAAATCCGCCATCAGTAAATACGTATTACTCTCTTTATATTGATTTTTAAAAAACTAATTTTTAGACTCCTTTAATTTCCTCCTCCTGGGACATTTAGCCAAGTCCAAAAATTCCCACCTCCCTACACATATTCACTATAATCCTCCCTCTAATTGACACCATGACAAGCATTACCTCAAACTCTCCTCAAGGAGTACTTTTGGCAGATGTCCTAAATGAAGCTCTTTCCTACTGAAGTAAACACTCTGGCTGTCAATCAGCTTCTATCTGCATTCCCATTTAATTTACTCAGCATCTCCTGGTATATCAGCAACGAAAAATTAGCTGATGTGCATGTAAGGGCATCAAGGAACGTTATGAGTCACACTACTATAACAAGGCTGGTGATGGAAGGCAAGGAAAGAGGTCATAAGCAAAAAGGTTATCTTCCCTGATTTCAAACAAATGGCAAAAATCCTGGTCCATTATTTCCCTGCATTGAATTCTCTCCCCCCAAAAATGGCTTAAAAAGAATGAGTAAAGAATTATGATACAGTAGAGCAGCAATTCTCTAACTGTTCTATAACCAAAAATAACTATTTGGGGAGGATTTTTTAAATTTCAGATCTCTAGTGGGTTTAAGTAACTGCATCTCCACTGGTGGTCCTAATATAGCTACAGAAAAGAGGAAAGAAACAGAGCAGTCATGTCATGTTAGGCTTAATAGCAAAATAGAACTGTAATCCAACTTTCATAAATTATTAGTATTCACTAAAGAGGACTTGAGAGATCTAGTTCAACTGCCCAGTTTTATACCTGAAGAATATGAGGGCAAGGGAGATAAGACACTTGCCCATGATCACAACTGGTCATTGGTTTCCTAGCAATTATTAAAAAATCATTTCCCATTTTCTCCTAAGTTTTAATATTTTCAGGGGAATCCTGCAAGTGGGCAGGCTCATCAGTTATTTCCAAATTACATAAGAAAAAAGAAAAAATGTCAAGTTGAGAAGGAAAACAGAAAAGGTCTTACCTCTGGGTCTGCTAGGCGCTGAGACAGACCTACAACAAAGACGAGGTTTTTTTGTACAACACGTACACTAGCCAAATGTTTGCGATTTTCTGATATTTTCTGTTTTCTCTCATTTTGTTTCTGTTTTTTCTCATTCTTTATCCTCTGCAGTTCTTCCTGGGAAAGTGGTTTATAAACTGCTGGGTCTTCTGGATATGGCTTTAAGCATAAGAAAAACATAAAAGTTAGCATTAAATAAATAAACAGAAAATATGAATAACAATTATCAAATTCTGGATGATATGTATGTGGTTATTATATCTCCCTTTTTCTGAATCTTCTAATTGCTTAAAATATTTTTTATTTAATAGAAGTTAAATGTTATATAACATAGTTTTAAAACTGTATTTTTTTAGAGCTTAACAGACCACTTCTAGCACTAAAACTTAAACCATCTCCAAAGGCTCTAAAATAAAAAAAAAATACCCTCTAGTGCCTATCACATACTTTACAGGAAAATTAAGCTTCTAAGATGCTGTATAAAAGGCAAAGAGTATAATTTCTCTCATCTAAATATGCGTTTATATATTACAATCAACAAATATTTAATAAAAGCCTACTATGTGCTAGAAGATTAATGAAGTACTTGTTTTTTAATACATTCCCAGTCTAAGAGGGGCACCGATGGGCAGATAAACAATACAGAGACACTCTGGCTCAAGAGTTTGAATCCAGTTTCAACACTTACTAGCCAAATGGCCTCAGGCAAGTTTTTAATCTATGCTTCAATATTCTCCTAAGTAAAATGAAAATAATCTTAAAGGCTACTATAAACTAGTACTCATAAAGCAACTATTATTGTCACTGTAATCCCTCAAAAAAATACACTCACACTGTTGTAAATTTTTTCGGTAATTATATTATCATTACAATATTGTTTTCATTCCTACTGCTAATGTCAAGGCTAATGGTGGCCTGATTAAGAGCTGTGCACCCATACTGCCTGGCTTTGAATCTTAGTTCACTCTTTACAATCTGAGAGACCTTGGTTAACGTATGTGACCCGTCTGTATCAGTCTTCTCTTATGTAAAATGAGAATTAAATTACTTTATTAAGAGAGTTTCTGTAAGAACTAAAAAATACACCAGTAAAGTGATTAAAACTGTGTCCTGCACACAGAATTCAAGTCAGTTACTTTTACTTCTAATAAAAAATAGTTAATAGTAAGTAAATGCAAGATGGGACACACTAAATACAATCATAACTAAAACTGGATATGAAGCGATCCCAGAAATGGGAAATTGTGCCTATCAGAATACAGGAGTAGAGATCAAAAATAATGCCATCAAAAGAAGAAGTGGAGAGCCCCCAAAAGATTGAAATCTTGTTTTTCCTTTAACATAATGGTTACTTTCACCTTTTCATACCTAAGTAAAAGACAAAAATAAAAACCCTCAAATTTGTGAATGCACTCAGATTAACACTGAAGGCAAAGTGAGTTTTCCCTTTTTGTTCTTCAATTTCTACTAGTCATATCATAAGGTCTTCAAAAACCCTGTTCTGAAATATTCAGGTGTAACTCTTAGTGGTCCTGTAGGATGTACACACCCATACCACTCAATTATGTTTAAAAATCACTACCTTCTAGATAACTGGTCTTATCTGGCATACTCCCAATTTACCTATGATTGGGAGGCACATAAAAGAGCTAGCTCAGAAATTCACCTGACTTTTGCATAAATAAATAGTACTGCACATTTTAGGAGCTCAGTATTTGCCAAATGAACACCAACCTACTCTCCAGAACAGAACTATAGCACTGGTAACTTTCTTAAAAAGATAAACAAACTTATTTTCAAAACATTCTTGCATTTTAATTTAAGGAACCAAATGAGTAAAGATCTATTATAATTAACTTAATTCTTTAATCAATGATGTAACTACTCTTCCCCATTTAAGCTTTCTCTTTCTTCTCCACTTACCCTTGTGTACCTATCTCCTTTCAATCTTAATCTATCTGCTCAATTTTAATCCCATGAATTACTAGGAGCTCTAAAGGCATAGCATAAAAAGGAACTACATACACACAGACTAAGATACCTTTCCATAAGATTACCTTGATTTTTCATTTCTACATGGAAAAACCACTTTCTACCACAGGATTTCTGGATAGCCCTTTTGGAATGTTTATTATTAAGTTTACTTGAAAGCTGTTGCCCTTCACTAACATCTAGAGTGGTGATGAGCCACTCCCTGAATGAATCAAGCACATGAATTGCTCCTAGCTCTAAAGTATGGTCACAGACCATGATAAGAAAAACTAAAAATTGAGAACAGCACTTTGAAAAATTTTAAGGCATCTTAACATTGCCACAATATTCAATTACGTTATCAGTGAACTCTTTGCTTATTAAGATATTACCACGGTTGTTACTGAATTTAGCTGGTGAGGCAACATAACGCAAACTGGGTACTAGGCATGCCTAACAGGGCCCTGTATCAGTCCTAACAGTCGGAGGTGGGGGGTGGGGGGGAGAGGGTGGAAATCTGGTTCTTCATCAGACAGTCTGAGAAACACTGATGTAACTCTTCTGAGACTCCAATTCTCCTGAGAGCATGAGGGATTTGACAAGCACTCAGGGCTTTTTCTTGTTAATATTTTCTGACATTGTAGATTTCTGATAAAAGATGATGCAGAGTAATATAAAAGCAAAAAATGTGTAACAAAAAATGATGGAGAATGACAAGTATCAAAAATCAGGTCGCAATATCAACTCTCATCAAGTATATTACTGATATACATCATGTTGAGTATATAACACTGCTTGGTTATCCTAGTCTTTTTCCCATATTATTCCAAGTTTTTTCTATGGTAATATACTTCTATCAGGCATTCAAGTCAACTTTATTGGAAGATAACTGCTACATAACACAAAAGATACCGGTACAGGAGAACAGGAGAAATTAGTTTACTCTGATTTATCTTCCAAATCTCTCTTATCTCTTAAGCAACTTAAAGGAAGTTATAAATAGTAGCTTTTAGTCTTAACATATTTGTGGAGTTGGATCTCTGCTGCTTGGTGGAATTAAATAAATGTTTCTAGACACTATAAAATGTGCCAGTTTAATAAACACAAACGGCAACTATTCAAAATCTCAGTCTTAACCTGTCTAAAGGTTTCATAAAAAGTTGGAAAAGCGTGTATTTCATGATAGTTCCTACACACACACACAAACCCCACCATAAATACAACTCTGCAAACTCAACAAAAGAAAATTACCAAGCTGATACAATAAGATGAGAAAGGGAGGTAGACTAAAGGTGGGAGACAAAAACACCTAATGTGAATAACTGCAAAAAGAGAGTGTGACCTACAAAGCCAGTAACAGTAGTATTAAATATTCATATAAAGAAAAATATAGTAGTCTACTTTTTGACTGAAACAGTATGTTAAGCTTAATTTTCTAGGAAATTTAATTAAATTTCTAGGAAAATAGCATCAAATGAAAAATTATAAGCAGAAACTCTTTCTTGGCACTTTTGTGTGTTAAATATTAAATTAATGCTTAATAAGGCACCTGTGGAAATGCATTTTTAACGTGTAAAGTATTTTTAATGGTGTTAATTTGGTGATAAATTCTAATTAAGATGGTTTACAGTCAGTCTCTAGTATAATCAACTTCTTTCATATGTGTGGTTATGTTTTTTACACCTAATGTATTTACATGTTTCTTCTCATTATTTTCTGATCAGACTTGTCAAGAGTTTATTTTGTAGGTCTCTTCAGAGAACCAGCACTTTTTCCTTTCTCAGTAAATTCTGCTTAATCCTTGTCTTCCCTGTGTTTATTCTTTTTCTGGTTTCTTACCCTAGAAATAATTTCATTTATTATTGTTCTTCATATATTAATAAACGCATTTATAGCTTTAACTTTCCTTTTGCTAAAGACAATGAAAAATACTTTATAAAACTTCTATTTTAAAACCAGCATCTTAACAACAATAATGACATGCAGTGGGGAAGTCTCAAATCAATTTCTGATTTAAAATTAAAATCCAGAGAGGTAAGTTGAAAGTCTGAGTAACAATAAATCGGGAAAGAGGATCAAATGCGGGGGAGAGGGGCAGCATTCAAAGCCTAAATCAGTCCAGGGTGAAGTGTCTTGGGAAGATCATCCCCGTGTTAGGCTGAGACCCAGACCACCCCGTAAGAGCTCTCCTAGTCTCAGGATAAGAATGAACTACAGAGAGGTCAGAACAAGAGAAAAGACAAGGGTAGTGGAAGAAAACTATCCTAGAGAGGTTGTTGAAATTAACCCTTGGGAAGACTTACACCCTAGAGACCTGAAGACCTTTTACACTTGGCCAAGATCTCTATGCTTTGGCAATGCTTACAGGATCCAACCTTTATGCCTAATGGCAACGTTTAGAGGATCCAAGATAAGCCAAATCAAAGCCTCTCTAGAGAACCTTACAAATCATTCAATGACAACAACAAACAGGAAGCAGGCATAGATAACTAAACACACAAAGAAAAAAAAACTTAAATGACCAGCAGAAACCTTCATTTACAGGGATTATTGGGCATAGATTTAAAACAATAATACTTATCTGTTTAAACAAACATAGGATAAACTTGAAAATCTCTGCAGCATATTAACAAATCTACTTAAAAGTAACATCAAGCATGACAAAAGAATAAACACTGCTTTCAGAAATGGGAAACACCAAGGTTAAGATTTTAAAAATTCAGTGGCCATATTTAGTATCAGACTGGGCCTAAAAGAAAAGTTTAAATGCCAGAGGACAGATCAGGAAAAAAAAAAAAAGCATCCATTAGTACATTAAGTAATGAAAAAAAAAAAATCTAGAAAAGAGATTATAAGAGACATGGAAGACAGTGAAAAGATCTGAAAAATATTTAATCAGAGTCCCAGGAAGAGAGGAAAGAGAATGAAGGCATTATTTGAAGAGATGATAGCTTAATTTTTTCCAGAACTAATGAAACTCACCAATCCATTCAAGAAGTCTTACAAATTCCAAGCAGGATGAATAAAAATTAAATATGAGTGAGTTCTATTTTTTTTAATTAACTGGCATTTCCGTTGCAGCCTACCAGTCAATCTTTGTGCCTGCTACACTTGTATTTTACAGTTTTGTACAAATTTGTATGAAGTCGTGAACATGGACGGAGATATTTGTTGTGTTACTCAAATTTCCCATTTCCTTTTTACTGCCTGCTTCATCTTTTGATTTCTAAAATACTGAAGTTAGAAGTCTTTTCATTATGAATGTGGATGCACTTTCTTCTAGTATTTATGTCAGCTCAGCATATCACAAAGGTCTGTTGTTAAGTAAAGTTTCATGACTTTAGGGGCCTTTTATTGGTAAAAAAAAAATTCCTTGGCCCTTTTAAAATGTGTTTGATCTTGAATTTGATTATGACTATTATCAGTACTATTATACCTTTGTTCCTATGATTTTCATTTGCCCACTCTATCTTTTTATCACTAGTTACATTGGTTTTTTCTTGTATATGTTCCTAGTTATAAAAGTTTATTAGGAAAAAGAGCCATTGTCCATTTCTTTGCTCCCCCATACCACTTGCCTCTCCCTAGAAATATCTTGTTGACTCTTAGGTGATTTCTTTGTCATTTTCCAGAACATCATTAAATAACAGGCTTGAGTTGCTGCTGCTTGATTTTTCTGTTGTGGATATTATCACATTATACAAGTTGACGACCTAGTTTTCTCTCACCCAGCTTGACTGTATATCCCAAGTCCACCATCATTTTGGTTAGGTCAATATTCACAATTATATTATGATATAAAGTTCAAATGTTATTTATACATTTCCACCTCCAGCTATGCCCATGTAGCAGGTAAAGAGACAAGGTCTACCAGTATAAGCAACTAGAAAACTAGACAAAATATGAAATAACTGGTTTCAAACATTGAACAACAGGTAGCAAACAGCAGGTCTGTAACATCTGAGGAAAAAATGAAGTAAGACCATGAAAACCATGAGTTTCCCATGTTTCTGCTCTTCTGGCACTTATTGGAACTTAGCACTGGGTCCAACAGTCACACTGAGCAGAGGGGGGCAATGATCAAAATTTGAAGAGGCTGAGGCAACTGAAATAGAAGTGGCAAATACCACAAAGAGAGAAACAGTCCAAAAAAAATTTTCAGAAATCTACATAGAGGAATCCTGTGGTAGCTTGTTTCCATAGGCAGCTCTGTGATGAAGACACCCTGGAAAAGTCCATGTCAATAATGAATTTAGGGAGGAAATAAAAAAAGTTATACTAATCACACATAAACCTTTACAGAACATAGATGAGGAAACATTTTCTAACTCTTTTGATAAAACCAGTATTACTTTGATACCACATCTAAAACATAAAAGAAAACCACAAATACCCCTCATGATACAGACATAAAAATCCTTCTGAATATATTAGCTAATTGAAAATAAAAAGGATAACATCATGATCAAATGAGGTTTTTCCTTGGAAAGGACAGGTTGATTCAAAAATCAATCAACCTAAATCACCATTTCAACTGAATGAAGGAGAAGACACATCATCAAAGCAGAAGAAGCATTTGACAAAATGCCAACTCCCATTCATAATTTAAAAATCTCAGTAAGCAAGGAATAAAAGAAAACTTTCTCAACCTGACCACCTCCAAAACCCTCAGTCAGCAACATACCTAATAACACCTAATAATGAAATATTTGACACCTTCTGGTAATAAACAAGGATACCTGTTCTTACCACTTTTATCCAATGTTACACTGAAGGGCTTACCCAGTGCAATAAAGCAAAATAAATAAATAAAAAGCATAAGGGTTAGAAAGGAAAAAGCAAAACAGTCTTTATTCACAAAAGGCATGATCACTTATATAAAAAATCCTAAGGAATCTATTAAACAAAAAGCAATTCTTCTACATAATAGCAATGAACAATAGGAAAACAGAATTTTAAAAGCAGCATCATCTGCCATGGTTTCAAAAAACATAAAATAGATAAATGTAACAAAATATGTTGTAGTACTAGGTACACTGAAAACTACAGACACTGTAACTGTTGCATCTGCTTATTATTACACCAAAACCTCCCAAATTTTAAAAACCATTGGTTTGTTTTATAGTTAGAAGGGACTCAAAAGACTTACATTTGAATCCTAAACTTACTACCCACTAGTTTATGCCTCTTTAAAGGCCCAGATTCTGTAAATGTACAATGAGGACAGCATTAATAGCCTAGAATTGTGTTAAGGGCTCAAATAAATGAGTAACTATTACCTTCTGAACCAGAATTTCTCTGTTATTTTAATGCACGACCTCTTTTAGTAAACATCAAAACTTCTCTATTTTGTACTAGAAAATTAAAATGAATTTCCCCCCAGATATAATATTGAGTGTTTTTTTCCAATTTCATACCATCCTATCTAAATCCATTGCTTCTTTCCTCCTAATACTCAAACAAAAAGCACCACTGATCAAGTTAATCTTCTCAGGTAAGAAAACTAAAGGCTGACCAGAGAGGTTCTGTGTTACCAAGATCATATACTTAGTTAACAACAAAGTCAAGATTTGACTCAGATTCTCAGGGCAGTGTTATTTCCACTTCACTGTATCTTAAAAAAATCTTGCTACACATAATCTCACCTGTGGTTTCTAGATGGTTTTAAATCTACTTATATGCAAGGGGGAAAAACTGTACTCCACTTATTCTGGGTATTTACCTTTCTACATGCAGGACAAAGCCCATTTTCATCAGTGCGAATTCGATGCCAACAAAATCGGCAAATCTGGTAGCCACAGGTGCAAGGGAAAAAGTTGATATCATCTATCTCCAAGGGCTCCATGCAAAGAGGACATTCCACAGGGTCTTCCTTCACATCAGGACTGCGAGACATCTTTACGTTTATTAAACAGCAGCAAAAGTTTATAATAATTTAAGGGAGAAGGAAGTTCAGCACTGCGAACTAAAATGTAGAACTTCAAAGACCTGCATGAGAAGAAACAAAATATACTGTTTACTACTGGAAAAAATGGCAATTTTCAACTATTGGTTTTTTCTTGTATATGTTCCTAGTTATAAAAGTTTATTAGGAAAAAGAGCCATTGTCCATTTCTTTGCTCCCCCATACCACTTGCCTCTCCCTAGAAATATCTTGTTGACTCTTAGGTGATTTCTTTGTCATTTTCCAGAACATCATTAAATAACAGGCTTGAGTTGCTGCTGCTTGATTTTTCTGTTGTGGATATTATCACATTATACAAGTTGACGACCTAGTTTTCTCTCACCCAGCTTGACTGTATATCCCAAGTCCACCATCATTTTGGTTAGGTCAATATTCACAATTATATTATGATATAAAGTTCAAATGTTATTTATACATTTCCACCTCCAGCTATGCCCATGTAGCAGGTAAAGAGACAAGGTCTACCAGTATAAGCAACTAGAAAACTAGACAAAATATGAAATAACTGGTTTCAAACATTGAACAACAGGTAGCAAACAGCAGGTCTGTAACATCTGAGGAAAAAATGAAGTAAGACCATGAAAACCATGAGTTTCCCATGTTTCTGCTCTTCTGGCACTTATTGGAACTTAGCACTGGGTCCAACAGTCACACTGAGCAGAGGGGGGCAATGATCAAAATTTGAAGAGGCTGAGGCAACTGAAATAGAAGTGGCAAATACCACAAAGAGAGAAACAGTCCAAAAAAAATTTTCAGAAATCTACATAGAGGAATCCTGTGGTAGCTTGTTTCCATAGGCAGCTCTGTGATGAAGACACCCTGGAAAAGTCCATGTCAATAATGAATTTAGGGAGGAAATAAAAAAAGTTATACTAATCACACATAAACCTTTACAGAACATAGATGAGGAAACATTTTCTAACTCTTTTGATAAAACCAGTATTACTTTGATACCACATCTAAAACATAAAAGAAAACCACAAATACCCCTCATGATACAGACATAAAAATCCTTCTGAATATATTAGCTAATTGAAAATAAAAAGGATAACATCATGATCAAATGAGGTTTTTCCTTGGAAAGGACAGGTTGATTCAAAAATCAATCAACCTAAATCACCATTTCAACTGAATGAAGGAGAAGACACATCATCAAAGCAGAAGAAGCATTTGACAAAATGCCAACTCCCATTCATAATTTAAAAATCTCAGTAAGCAAGGAATAAAAGAAAACTTTCTCAACCTGACCACCTCCAAAACCCTCAGTCAGCAACATACCTAATAACACCTAATAATGAAATATTTGACACCTTCTGGTAATAAACAAGGATACCTGTTCTTACCACTTTTATCCAATGTTACACTGAAGGGCTTACAAAATAAATAAATAAAAAGCATAAGGGTTAGAAAGGAAAAAGCAAAACAGTCTTTATTCACAAAAGGCATGATCACTTATATAAAAAATCCTAAGGAATCTATTAAACAAAAAGCAATTCTTCTACATAATAGCAATGAACAATAGGAAAACAGAATTTTAAAAGCAGCATCATCTGCCATGGTTTCAAAAAACATAAAATAGATAAATGTAACAAAATATGTTGTAGTACTAGGTACACTGAAAACTACAGACACTGTAACTGTTGCATCTGCTTATTATTACACCAAAACCTCCCAAATTTTAAAAACCATTGGTTTGTTTTATAGTTAGAAGGGACTCAAAAGACTTACATTTGAATCCTAAACTTACTACCCACTAGTTTATGCCTCTTTAAAGGCCCAGATTCTGTAAATGTACAATGAGGACAGCATTAATAGCCTAGAATTGTGTTAAGGGCTCAAATAAATGAGTAACTATTACCTTCTGAACCAGAATTTCTCTGTTATTTTAATGCACGACCTCTTTTAGTAAACATCAAAACTTCTCTATTTTGTACTAGAAAATTAAAATGAATTTCCCCCCAGATATAATATTGAGTGTTTTTTTCCAATTTCATACCATCCTATCTAAATCCATTGCTTCTTTCCTCCTAATACTCAAACAAAAAGCACCACTGATCAAGTTAATCTTCTCAGGTAAGAAAACTAAAGGCTGACCAGAGAGGTTCTGTGTTACCAAGATCATATACTTAGTTAACAACAAAGTCAAGATTTGACTCAGATTCTCAGGGCAGTGTTATTTCCACTTCACTGTATCTTAAAAAAATCTTGCTACACATAATCTCACCTGTGGTTTCTAGATGGTTTTAAATCTACTTATATGCAAGGGGGAAAAACTGTACTCCACTTATTCTGGGTATTTACCTTTCTACATGCAGGACAAAGCCCATTTTCATCAGTGCGAATTCGATGCCAACAAAATCGGCAAATCTGGTAGCCACAGGTGCAAGGGAAAAAGTTGATATCATCTATCTCCAAGGGCTCCATGCAAAGAGGACATTCCACAGGGTCTTCCTTCACATCAGGACTGCGAGACATCTTCACGTTTATTAAACAGCAGCAAAAGTTTATAATAATTTAAGGGAGAAGGAAGTTCAGCACTGCGAACTAAAATGTAGAACTTCAAAGACCTGCATGAGAAGAAACAAAATATACTGTTTACTACTGGAAAAAATGGCAATTTTCAACAATGAATCATATTATCAAAAAATTTTGAAAAAAATTAATCAGACCAATTTTTGCTATCATCTCAGAAGAGATTTCAAAATGGAACTCTGAATTTTTTTGCATGTCAACATAAGAAGCCTAGTATTATTTTTGGATTCAATAAAAGACAAAGAACATCCCTTTTTCCTAGATAAAACAGTACGAACCATAGCATAGCATAGAGGAACAAATGATTTATATCAGTATCTTCAGCCTTAAAACACATTCTAAACTGTCTTTTGCCAATCTTGTTGACCTGAAAGCTAGGACTCCTGCCATGTAACTAAAGTTAAGAGTATTACAGTATTAAAAAATGTGTCACAATTTAAAAAATAACCCCAATGAAAGAGAGTCTACAGTCATCTATAATTACATGTTAATATACCTCACCACAGAAAACAAAGGCTGAAAAAAATATGACTCAGAACCTAATTGTTTACAATTAAATATGTATTAATATGCCAGCAAAAACTTATGGGAAAATAAGTACATGTTAAATAGAATATAAGTATTCCTATGGTAATGCTACAAAAAAACAGGGAAAAGGAAGAGACCAAATAGACCTCCATAAGTCTTCTTAAAAATTATATAATTTAGCTTTTTAGATTATGGAGAGTTGAAAATCTTTGAGTAACAATTTAGGCTAGTCACTGTTAAATAAAAACGTTAGACTGAAATCACTATAGGTTAAAAAATGATAAAATTTTGATTTGGGTCAAAACATAACTCAGTGGAATTCCTATCAAAATAATGGAGGATTTTTTGTTTTTATGTAATTTGATGAAACTAAAGTTTACATAAAAGACTAGATACATGAGATCTACTTCAGAACTTCTGGAGGGGAAATGTGGGAATTTGGGCTTTAAGATATGAAACATTACTACAAAGTTACAGTGATTTGAATAATTTGATACTGATACAAAAATAGACAAAAGATCAAAGAAACTAATTCTACAAATAGAACCATGAATTTGTGAGATTTTAGTATCTCATAAAGGTGTCATTACAAATTAATATGGCAAGGACAGACAAATTTATAAGTTGTAACAAGATACTGGTATATCCACTTTAAGGGGAAAAAACAGTATATTATCTCACATTTCAATCAAAATAAATCCTATATGATCTGTCTAAAGAGCTGTACACTGAAATGAACTATTAAGTGTTAGACGAAAACAACATACTTTTTAAAAATCTTGGAATACAGAAGGTCTAAGCAAAAACAGAAATTTAGAAGCCATAAAAGAAACACGACTGACTTAACATTGTGTAAAGAAAAAAATTAAAAGCAAGCCAACAAAATAAAGGATATATTCACTATATACAGTGAAGAGTTAGTGTCAAGAATATATAAAGAAATCCTACAAATCAATTTTCAAAAGGCAAATAAATCAGAAGAAAAAAAATGAGAACAGAATGAGTATTTCACAGAAGAATAAAAATCACAACATATGAAAAGATGATCAACCTCTTTAGTTAGTAACAGGGAGATAGCATTTCTTCTCCAAAGGCCTATCAATGGAAGTTAGTCTCCCTACACAGTAGAGCTTATCAATGATCAAATAACTTCCTCGCTGCAAAAAGGAAATGGGAGCACGAAAAATACCTGGTTGTAAGTTATATAACTATTTAGTGGTGCAGCCTAGAATCATTCTACAAGTTTCAGCCCCAGAATCTGTGCTTTTAACCACTCCTTAATGCCATCCAAGAAACTCACACATTTCCACCAAGTACTTCGCTATGTTCTGCAGCACTGTTCACGAGAATAGAAAACTACAAAGTAACTGTCCATCAGTTGGGAAATCATTAAGTAAATAATGATACAGCCATAAGGCAGATAATGCTTTGAATCAGAAGATACCTATTATATAGTTATTACTTTTATTTTTAAAAAGCAAGCTGGAGACTAACATAAATATACAATTATTTCCATATAAATATATAAACCTGTATATATGTGTATATATTTGATGTGTTTCTCTAAGGAAATTAAGCATATAAAAAGGTTATATACCACAATGCAACCATATTACAGAAGATAAAATGGAGGTAAGTAGACTATTTTATTTTCAAAAAAATCTTTATTATTTGAATTTTTATAATAAACATATTGTTTTTATAATTCAAAACCAAACTTTAAAAAAAAAGAGGGCAACTATCTTCATCTCCTTTCAGAAAATTAAATTAAGTCTTTCACTAGTGGTTAGAAGATAAAATGAAATATGTTCATGTGAATCTATATAAAAAAATAAAAGGTTTTTTTAAAAGAAATAAATGGTGTATATATTCATAAACAATCCAGGAATCCTAGGCTGCAGACTCAGTTTGCCACTGTTTCATCATATATAATATGAGGGGGTTAGAGCAGATGTCTTACCTCC